GAAACCCCTCCACAAAAGGGAATGACGCCCTGGATGCTGACATGGACAGGTTGCAGCCGCCCGTCCCGCTGTGGCAGAGGAGGGGCAGGGGAAGAAACTGGCTCGACTCGCTGTGCTGACGATGAAAAAGGGTGGCTGGTTACTAAGTGGCACGTTAACATCACGTCCAGCCTGGAAGGAATGCACCCAGGATTCATTAGGGGTGCTGTCTTAGGTGAGTCACGCCGCGGCCATGCGGATTTAGGCAGGATGGAGCTGTAATTGTGCAGGAGGGGAAGGGATGCTTGGTGTAATCGTTCTGGGTGCTGCAGGGAGAGGCAGGAGGGCCGTCGGGGTGTGATGCAGCCACCCTTCATTAAAACAGCAGGCTGAAATGTAGGGCACAGCGATGCCGTGGGGAGCGCTGCGTGCTGATGGCGCTGGGAAGGCAGGGTGACACCGCTCCTGTTGGAATAGGGGCTTGGGAGCAGTGAGATAAGCAGGGTAAACATTGCTGTGGTGGCAGCACGGGGGCAGGGATCAGCCAGCCTGGATGGGTGGGCAAAGATGTCCTCATCAGAGAGATGCCCCATCCACAAAGCGAAGGGAAATGTCACTCCCTGGGCAGGAAGGGGAGGCGGGGACGGCCCTTCAGCTCTGAGATGCTGGGAAGGGGATGTGAGCCCTAGAGGTGAGAGGGCACCTTGTGCTTTGTGTGGGCTGTTATCTGCCTCCATGTACATCACCAGGCACAACTCCTGAACCACGCTCCCACCTAAAGGCCCTCTGCTCTGCTGGGCACCACCCAGCAAACCTTCAGCACCTCCGGAGGATGCACCAGGTTTTCCAAGCACGAAACCCCTTTTACTGCCAGAGTTGGACTCAGGGATCCATATGGGTCTTTTCTAAGTTGGGATATTCTATGGTTCTACTGGGGACGGTGGGTTTGTGAGTGCACATGGGGAGCTGGGCTGGTGTGTGCAAGCAGCTCCACACCACTGATCTCACCTCGATGCGCTCAGGAGAGAAGGGGACAACCTCCATTCCCAACTCTGAGCAGTTTGCCGCGAGCTGAGGTGCGCAGAAACCCCATCTGCGATCCTTCAGCTCCGGGGCCGGCAGGTGAGACAGCAGAGCAGCACGAGCTGCGCGCCGCGCCTTCCTCCCCACTTGTGAGCACTCCCCTGGGCTCAGCCTGCCCGGCCCCAGCCCGTGCCACCCAGCTCAGCGCCGTCCCGGCCCCGCTGCCCTCCCGGTATGCACGTATCAATGAAGCATTTGTCTCGTGCTTGGCACCAGGCGTCAAAGCGCGAGGGTCCGTGCACTGGATCGCCTAAACACAGCTATAAATGGAAAGAGGAGCCGCACAGACAGGCTGTTCTCTCAGCCGGCATGAGCTCAAATAGCACAGTTAACACCCGCGCTGCCCGAGGACATGCAGGAGCTCCAAAATCCTGGAGGTGGCCGAACTGCTGCCTAAACCCAGCCCAAACCCAGCCCAAACCCAGCCTGAGCCTGGCCCTAAGCCAGCCTGAACCCAGCCCAAACTCAACCCAGCCCAAACTCAGCCTGAATCCAATCCATCCCCAGCCCATCCCCAACCCAGCCCACACCCAGCCCCAGCCCAGCCCAAATTCAACCCAAACTCATCCCCAACCCAACCCAAACTCAGCCCAAATCCATCCCCAACCCATCCCCAACCCAACCCAACCCAAACCCAGCCCCAACCCGAACCCAGCCGCCAGCAGACACAGGGATGGTGCTCAGAGCAGAGCAGATTAAGGACAGCTGAAAGGTGGGAGCAAGATGCTTCTTGCACTCTGGAAACCTGAGACAAATTCCTCCCGTTCCTCCAAGCCCGGGGCTTGGCCAGACCTGCTTCCAGGAAAAGGGCTGAGGCTGTGAGCACTGCGCTGTGCCCAGGGGGCCTGAGCTGCCTGGGAGCAGCACCAGTTGCAGGCCTGGGTTGGCAGCAACTGATGACCCTTAAGGTCCCTTTCAACCCATGCAATTCTATGGTAGTGGGGCCACGAAGCTGCGGGATGAGTGCAGCTTTGGGCACGTAGAGGCACCACCATGCAATGCTCCATGTGCAGATCTCAGCAAGCTCTCCCTTGTCAGTCACTCAGAGCATCACAGCAAGGGTGCAAAACCAGGAGGAGAACCACGAGCCGTGCAAAGCAGAGAAACCCCAACAGCCAAACTACTCTGTGCTCCCATTTGTGAGCAGGGAAGTGAAGCAGCACTCAGCCAACCCTGGCTCTGGGGGGGGGGGCACCCAACACACCAGCCCAAACCCACTTTTTCCATCACCCCCCCCCCCAAAACAAAAAAAAAAAAAAAAAAAAAAAAAAGACAGATACAGGCTGCAAGGGGCAAAAAAATAAATAAAGACAGATGTGGTTTTATTGGACAATTAACAAAAGAGAGCTCCGAATGCGGGTTGGTAAACATTTCCTTTCTGCTTACAGCTAGTACTTTCCACTCGCGTCCTTTTGTGCCTCCTGATCCGCCCCAACAATGACAGCCGGTGCTGTCAGGGCTTTTGCTGCCACGCTCAGGGTCACAGCAGCAGCCGACAGACCTGGCAGATATTTTCAGGCCCAGCAGATGCTCAGGGAAGGCAGCTCGGTGCCAACAAGGAGAAATCAGCCCACACAGAGCAGCTCTGCTCCCACCTGAGCGGCTGCTGGGCGCAATCCCTGCTCCAGCCCAGGGCTGATGTCAGAGAGGAGCTCACAGCCCCACAACTGCCAGGGTTTGGAGAAGCAGAGCCAGCAAGTCTGTCCCAAACAAGGACTGGCATGTTGTCAGCACGATTGTTGCGGTGGAACCAGAACTGCCTGTAGCTCTGCGAGGGGAAATGAAACTGCAGCTCCGGCTGGAGGGCAGCCAGGCAACGAGGAGCTCACACCCAGCTCCCAGCCACCACCAGGAACCTGGCTGGGCACAGGGCTTCGCTAGAGAATGAGCCCCCCCGGCTTCCCAGCCCTGCCATCCCGAGGGGAAACACCTTGCTGCAGGGTGCTGCCCCAAACACAGCATTACAGCAGAGGAGCAACGTGGTGCTGGTGACCACGGGCACGGGATGCTACTCATGAGAAGGCAGGAGCAGCAGGGAGGGTCACCCAGCATCATCCCATGGGAGCCCAGATGGTGACCAAAGAGCAGAACACCGATGGGACCACCAGGAACAGGGAGCAGCAATGAGCAGGACCCCCATGAGACATCATTACAAACAGAAAGCTCCCAGCTGTGTGCCACCAGGCTTCGGGACAGAGAGCCCAGAGCAGAGGGGGACAGAGGGAGAATCAGGAGCCCACAGCTGCTCCAGACCAGCAATCTGTTCTGGTTCTTACTGGTAAGGACAGCAGCAGTACCACCACCCTGCCCTGATAGATAAGCAAATAAAAAAACCCAACAGATTTGAATACACTGTATTTATTTTTAAACAGATTCTAAAGAATCTAGTGAATCTATGTCAAGCCCATCGCATGACAAGTGATACAGGTGTAGGAAAAAAAAACACTTAAAACAAAATCAAGCGCCATTCAAGCTACTGGAATCTTCCCAATGCCCCCTCACAGGAGGCAGCACAGTATCACTGCAAGGTCTAGAAAATTCAGATTCAACCCATTCATAAGAGTCCCACCACACGCACTCCGCAAACCAAAAGTGCAATCTCAACGTAAGTCGAGCTGTCAGCTGTAGGGAAACACATCTGCAATAGGGAGGGGGGAGAAAAAACATCTCAGTTTAGTGCATCTCTGTTTCTGTGGGTAGGGAGTAAGGAGCCTGTAAGAATGAAGAGAAGCATGCTACATGTCGTGGAGCTTGAAATGGGAGATGGTGGTCAGGATCTCGAAGCCAGCCTTGGAACAGCTTTGCACGGAGCAGAGCACCAAGCAGTTTGCAGGCTGCTGGTGAGCTGTGCCTACGAAAGCAAAGCTGCCCTGTGGGAAAGCCACAGTGACACCAGTGCTCCTCCATGGGATTTGCTGGGCAGGAAGCAAAGCTGCACCGATGGGAAGCTTGGTTAATTGGTATGAAGCGCAAGGAGCCCCCGGTGGCATCCCCACCCTGCATCACCCCTGCCCCCAAAGAAGGCAGCCATCTGGCTAGACACAGTCCAAGTATCTAGACTTTATTTAGCACGTCTGCCCGCCTGGTACAGTCGTCACAGGAACACAAATGAGTTAGTAGAGATACTGAGCCTCAGAGGGAGCACCCAGCTGCCTTCCCACTGCCCCCATCCACGCACAGACAGCCTGAGATGATGCTCGGTGAGAAGGGGCAGCTGAGGGAAAGGCTCTGCACACCCTACAGATGCACCCCGGGGCCCTCAAGACACAATAGGGTTTGTTTGGAAGACAGAATTTCTCCTAACACCAACCACCCCTCACGTGGGACCCCAGGAGCTCAGCTTCTAAGCTAGAGGATGAGTTCCAATGCTTCACACAGCCGGGATCACAGCAGCTGCTTCTGAACAGGACCTGCCCCAAAGTGGAGGAGGATCAGGGTGCTGGGAGAGGGCTGTGCATCCCCCCCACCCCAAGGACACAGCCCCCACCGTGAGATAACAGCCTCCTGAACGCGTTGTGCTTCAAGGACAAGCCTGCTCTTCCCACAGAGCCCCAAACGTGATGCCAAGAAAAGCAGCATTGCCAATTCCCCTAGAAAACACAGCACCTTGCACAGCCTGGGGCTCCCACACCGATCTGCATCATCCTCCATGGACAAATTCACCTTTAGGCACTACAGGATGGGGAATTTCAGTCAACCCACACGGGGGGGGGGGGGGGGGGGGGGGGGGGGGGGGGGGGGGCAGGCAGTCAATCCAAGCCAGAACCCCGGTGACACGTCGCTGCAATCCCACTCTCCCTCCAGCAAGGCTACTAGAAATGATCTCACGACCCTCCCCCCCACCCCCCATACAACAGAAACATTTTCCACGCAGGACATCCCCTCTTCGAGCTCTCGGGATGTCAACCCCTGCAAAAAATATATATCTATGTATCAGGTTTACAGTACAGTTGTGTTTATATTGTTACAGGCACTTAAACAGGATTCTTTGGTCCGTTCACAGGAATTAGCCACTCTGGCTTCTCTCATCAGAAACCACAAGTCTGCACACACCCCATAACACCCCCTGCACTAAAAAAAAAAAAAAGAAAAAAAAAGGAAAAAAGATTCAGATCCATGTCAGGGCAGTGCAGATCTACCTCACCGGAACTCTACAATCTCCCCTCACACCCCCCCACCCCCCATTGCCTACAATAAATCTTCCCATCTGAGCTCCTGCAGCGCTGCGCGGCCCATCACAGCCTGCAGGCCTGGCTCTGACCACCCCAGCAGCAACACACGCTGGGGGGAGAGAGTGAAGTTTGCTTTTGTTGCAGTCCTAGGAAGGTCGCCCCCGCTCCTGGCTCCCCAAAATGAGGGAATACCTCGAGGGCAGCCCCCGAAGTTCATCCCAGCTCAGTTACAGGGCAGCCACGTCGGGTAGGATTGGTTGCAGGGCAGGAAGGGCTGCACGTGGGTCACGTAGTAGTTGACGTTGATCTCACTGATGTAAGGGGCTGGCTGGTAATAGCAGGTGACATTTGTGACCGTGGGGAGGATGTTCTGCTCGGCCAGGACCCTCACGGCCAGCGTGGCAATGAGGTTCAGGGTCTGCCTCCGCTCGTGTCCCATGAGGCAGACCGTGCTCTCATTGACCACCCGGTGGAGGGTCATCAGATAGTCATAACGTTTGTCCTCCATGCCCACGAAGTGGCTCTGCAGGTAGCACTCCAGCTTCCTCTGCTGCTCGCCGATGTCAGAAAAGTCTATGAAAAACCTGGAGCACATGTAACGCTGCAGAGCCTTCATATCCACCTCGGATTTGGGTTTGAAGCCCCTCACCAGGAGGTTGCAGTACTTCAGGAGCCCCCCGCCTCTGATCTCCTCCGGGTTCCGGGTGGCGATGACTCTGCTCCTCAGGTGCTCCATGGCCTCCTCAAAGTCCCCATACATGCTCTCCCCGGTGACCGTGGGGTGGAAGTTCTCAGCCATGGGGTTCTCCGAGCACTCCCCGAAGAGCAGAAGGGAATCCAGGATGATCTGAAAGGAATCCACGCTGAACTCAAACTGCCTCCTGAGAGAGTCCACGAATTTGAGCTCCACGTTCTTCCCGCTGTTGTTGGACAGCGAGATGAGGCTCCAGCGGTCGGTTTCGTTGCACACCTTCACCAGCTTCTGCACATAGGCTTCCTTCAGGGTCATGGGGGTGATCTTGTCTTTGTTGACCCCTTCGGGGAGGAAGTCGAGGAGGCAATCCATCACCACATCCTTCACCTGCTGGAAGACGTCTTCCGTCTTCAGATCCACCCCGAAGATGAGGTCGAGGTCTTTGTAGCCCAGCCCGCTGTCCTGGTGCAGCACGTGGCTGGCTGCCGAGCCGTTCAGCCTCACGTTGTGCACCACGATCCCCTTCTTCTCCAGGCGACTGCGGACAACCTGAGGGATAAAGAGAGCGGAGGTGAGAAGCGAGCGCCTGTTCCCAGGACAGCGCTGAGATCCGCTCCCCACGCTTATATGGGTCGCTCCAGTGCAAGGAAGCAAAATAAAGAGCTAACCCAGCAGAAATAGGTCGCTCTGGGAGACCCACCCCTGGCACAGCTCTGGACGCCTCCCCCACTCTTCCTCACGTCAGAGGGTCTCCCATCACATCCGTGTGCCCTCCCCTCCCCGCCATCCCAGCCGCTCCTGGGCAGCAGGCTCTGCTCCTTGGGGCTGCAGCCCCAGCCGTCCCCAGGTTCCCCCCAAAGGGCTCTGGGGAGGAGCGGCTGCCGTCCCTGCTGATCTCATCAGAGCTGCTCACTCATTTCGGCCATCCCCTTTTAACTGTCAAGATTAATTAGAGGCAAATCAAGATGCCAGAAGCACTCAAAAGCCCTGGCCAGGTGTATGCAAGTTCGTGTCCTAACTAGTAAGTGTATCCTAACAATTTCCAGTGTGTCAGAGCTTCGTGCTGAACTTGGCGTGCTATCAAGCACAGGAGGCAGCTTTCATCTGACGGGTGTTACTCCAGCAATGTCAATGCTCAGCCCTGGCACACCCACCCGTACCTGCAGAGCTTTGTTCATTGAGTACGAGGCTGAATCATTTGCCTGATTACTTAACAGGCAGCAGGCTGGAATCACCTTAAGACCATACAATAAACCGCCACGGACACGGCCTGTCATTTAACAGAGCTCACAGATCTCGGGAAGGCAGGATGAGCTGCTGCAGGAAGATGCAAACCTCACCCCCCTCCATCCCTTTCATTTCTCCTTCCTGCAATTACAGAGCCCTGCAAACCTCCGCCTGCTCACCTGGTGCTGGACGTGAGGAGCCAGCTTGGAAGAGCCCAGCGTTGGGGTACAGACAAGCCGTTACCCCAGCAGGGCACCCCATTCTCCCAGGGACACCCACGTGTTGCAGCTCTGTCCTTTGGTTTAGAAGCAGCACCGGGGTGAAGGACCACAGCGAGATAGCGAGCTGCGCTGACCCTGAGCTGCCCTTGCAGGGAGACAGGCTTGGAAAAAATGCTCCTACAACCGTCCTAAAACTTGTTAAACCCCAAGCCCTGCAGGCTGCTCGGTGCCCTGATGCAGCTACAATGCTGGCATTTCCCCATTGCTCTCTGACATTAGGAACTGCTGCTCAGGCTGGAGATGTGCCCGGGCTCAATGCCAGCCCCACGGCAACGGTCACATGCTGGGCAACAGTTAACCAGGGAGCTACTCGCCGTCGGAAGTCCCAAGTCCCCACCAGCATATGAACACATCTGTCCTCTAAAAGAGGAATTCACTCCTAAAATCCAGGAGTGGTTTATCTACGGAGCAGCTGCCAGAGAGCTGAACCCACCATGAGCTCCCTATTGCTGCAGGTGATGGTGGACGAGCCACGCGCACTGCCAGCACTGCTGCTCTGTGGGGCTCAGTGCGAGGTGAGAAACAGATCACAGAGAGACCAAAGCAGAGCTGGGGGAAGGTCTCCTTCCTGTTTTAACTTCCCAGACACAAGCCAAGGATGGCTGCTCAATCCTACACTGAATCTGTGGGCTACAGAGCTCCAGCCCCACAACCGAGGCCCTGGACTGGGGGCTGACAGCTCTGCTAAGCATTGAGGGGGGAACAACCCCACCCTGACCCCAAAGCCTCAGCGCTGAGCAGACCCCCCCCAAGGACAGGAGGCTCCAGTAGGGGCAGGAATGTGCTTTTCCCCATAGGGGCAGATATTTGGAGGGTTACACGGCTGCTGACCTGCTTCCCAAACCTGCACCTCACCTCCACTGCGGTTGAGTTAATTGGTTCTGACAGGCAGGCAGCCCTACCCCAACCCTACCTGCTGCTCCCCACTGTCAACGAGTGCCTTTCTGGTTACTCCTCGGAATTACTCAGCCCCAAACACCGCGGGAAGGAGCTCGAGCAGCATCCCTTTGGGACACAGCTATATTAGGGGTGCTCCAGCACTGCCCCGACTCCATAGCAGCTCATTGGGCCGCACGCAGCAGCTCAAAAACACAAAGACATCGGGAAAAGAAGGAAACCAGCACAGAACCACAGCGGGGCAGCCGGGGGGCGGCATCCATCCATCGAGCTCCGAACGCAGCAGCAGCAGCCGCTGTGCTGGGAGAGCCGGCCGGGGTTCGGCTTCGCGAATCTCCTTTGTAATTAGAAGCCAACATGCCCGATTTTACATTTGATGAGTCATTACCGAAGAATGAAGTTGCCTCCCAAACATGAATATGCATCAGCTTATTTGAACTACGCTGTCAGTTTAATATTAAACACGGTTATGACTTTATGGTTAAACCAACAGAACTCTGGAATCGGAACGAGAGCCCCGTGCGGACCGGGGGCAGCGCCACGTGCGGGGCACACAGACGGGGGGGGGAGGAGGGGGAACCTCCGGGAGCGCAGTGCGGGGCTCCTCCCACTCCCCCCCTCCCCCCCCATCTCCCACCCCCCCGGGACCGCGGCAGAAGCCCAAAAGCCCCCCGGCGCCGCCCGGTTCTCACCTGCACGATGGTTCGGGGCTTCACGGACAGCGTCGGGAAGTTGCCTCGGCCGTGGATGGGGACGGTCTCGCCCAAGATCTGGTCCAACCGCTGCACCTGCTCCCATGTCAGCACGCTGAAGCGCTCCCCGGTGCGCTGCTCCGAGCAGCCTGCAGCCTCCGCCGCCAGCATCGCCCCGCCGGCAGCTCCCCCCGGAAGCGATGCGGAAAACAGCCGGAAATACCGGGCTGGGGGGTGGTGGTGATGGGGGGGAAGAAGGGAAGAAAAAAAAAAACCAAAAAAAAACTAAGCCGGTGCCGAGCGGGGGGAGCTGCGGGCGGAGGCGGACCCCGGGGGGCGCTGCAGGGAACCGTTCCGCGCCGCTGCGCTCCCGCCCGCCGCCGGCTGCGCTCAGCACTGCGCTCGCCCGCGCCCCGCCGCCCCTTTATATAGGAGCCCCGCCGCGCCCCCATTGGCCCGGCCCCGCCGCCAATCGCTGCCGGGTCTCGCAGCCCCTCCTGCGCTCTGATTGGTGAAGAGGGAAGGTCGGGGCTAGACGGAGCGCCAATCGGAACAAGAGGAAAAGGAAAGAGGCGGGGTAAAGAGAGAGGGGGCGGGGCTCCGGCGGCTTGCCCCGCCCTCTGGCACGGCCTGCGGCGTGGAGGGATCCTGGCGGTTTAAAGGGACCGCGCCCGGGAGCGGCGGCTGTGGGGACACCCAGACGTGACACTTGGGATACCGCACTGATGTCCCGCTGGTGGCTCATTCACACCCCACTCGTGTCCCATTGATGCTCTGCTGATATTCCATTGACTTTCCATTGGCATCTGTTGATGTTCCCTTGATGCTGAATGGATGCCCCTTACGCACCCTGTTGGCATTCCACTGATGTCCTTTTGATGTTCCATTCATGTCCCATCGATACCACATTGGTGCTCCATTAACATCCCTTTCATGTCCTACTGGCATCCCATTCATGACCCATTGATACCCAGTTGACACCACATTGATACCCTACTAGTGTCACCTTGATACCTGCTTGACATCCCACTGATGCCCCACTGATGCCCCATTGATACACCACCCACGGATGCCCAATTGATAACCAAATTGATGCCCCATTGGTTTCCCATCATGGAACCCACAAGGTCAGGTGCTGCTACTGCACCCTGGGAGCCCGAACCCCAGTGCGTGTCCCACTGCTGTTTTCTCCTAAGAGATTCCCCAGCCCTGGGGTCTCCCTCAGAGCCCATCTCCACATCAGCACACTGCTCTCCCATTGGACAGTGGAGATCTCCCTGTGGGTATCAAGCTCTGCTGCTGCTGATGCCCAGTGTGTGTGTAATTGGGGCAGCTGCCAGCAGGGCGTCACCAAAGCAGGACACGGCCCGTGTGCCACGTGTGTGCCAGGGTGCTGGATGGTTCCTTGGAAAGCCACAAAGCCGTTGTGCAAAAGGAGGTGAAGGATAGGGCAGATGTTCAACATGTGGGGCAGCCAGGACTGGGCTCAGAGTGCGCCCCATAACACCCCGAGGGATGCCCACAGCTGCTGGGGGATCGTGGGGTTGGGCTGGGTGTGCTGGGTGAACCCTGAGGCAGGAGCACTGCGAGGCCAGCAGGCAGCTGCAGGCTGTGGGGTGCAGGCTGTGGGGTGCAGGGAGTGAAAGCAGTTTTCCATGGAAATCTGCAAATATTGCTGTTGCAAAACCCCTTTGGTGGCACCGGCAGAAGAGCTTCATCAGGAAGTTTCCTAAGAGGCTGATGGACGAGTCAAAGTGCTTAGGAAATCAGGAGAGCATCCCCTCCCTCCCTTGTTTTCCATGTCCCATCTCCCATATGCAGCGTCCCACCTTCCCTGTCCCAGTTCCCATGTCCCCCGTTCCACGTCTCATGCCCCACACCCCACATCCTATTTCCCCTGTGTTGAGCCCCCAGTGCCGGGTGCCTGGGCAGTGGCCGTGCCCTGTGATGCCGTGGGGCGCACTTCAGGGCCCGGCAGCACTGAGCTGAGCACCCACTCCTGGACTCCAAACCGTGGCACTGGGGCGCCCTGGCAGAATCCCTTGGCATATGGCTCAGGAGTTGGGCACAGGGGACTGCAGTGAGCAGCGCCCCGTTGGGGGCTCTTTCCCAGCCCCTGTTGGATGCTCGTCTGCAGACTGGGTGCAGGGCTGGGGAGGAACCGAGCCAGGCTGGGAGGGAACAGCCCAACCGAGGGGTCAGGAGAGGCCTTGGGGACACCCTGGCTGCGTGGGACCGACTGCTGCCCGCCTGCCATTGCGCAGGTGAGCCGCCTCCCTGAGCAAGCAGCAGGGAGCAGGCCCTGCTCCAGAGCCACCGACGTCACCAAGCGTCACCCCAGGCAGCAGCAACGCTCCCTCGTGCATGGCAGAAGTCCCCATGCGTGCACTGCCTGCCCCCTGGCACCCGGCCCCATGCATGCCTGGTGTCCCCATGCCACACACCAGCTGTCTCTGCATGCACGGCGCTGTCTCTGTGCATGCACACGTGCCACCATCCCCACGCAGGTGCCAGCTGTCTCCAGGTGCTCACCTGTTGTCCCTACACAAACAGGCCACCATCCCCACGCTGTCCCCGTGCACATGTCTGTGCCTGCTGTGGATTTAGGAGGTGGATCTCAGCTGTGTCTGCAACCTCCCTCGGCAAACAGCTCCGAGCTGCCTCCTGCTTGCACCATTTGTGCAGTTGTGGCACTGCTGGAACCCTGCAGCTCCCAGAGCACTGCTTTGTCCCCAGGGGAGCTGTGAGGATGGGGAAGGTGGAGCTGTGAGGGGAGGACAAGGTGAGGATGAGGAGGATGAGGTGAAAATGGGGTGGAGGTGAGGGTGAGGAGGATGATGTGGTGAGGAAGAAGAGGACAAGGTGAGGATGAGAAGAATGAGATGAGGATGAGGAGGACAAGGTGAGGATAAGGAGGAAGGGGTGAGGAGGAGGAAGGCAATGTAAGGATGAGGATGATGAGATGAGGATGGGAAAGAGGAGGTGAGGACAAGGAGGATGTGGTGAGGATGAGGATGATGAGGTGGTGAGGAGGAGGTGAGGAGGAGGAGGAGGGGAGGACAAGGAGGATGAGGTGGTGAAGATGAGGAGGACAAGGTGAGGATGAGGAGGTGGTGAGTATGAGGAGAAAGAGGTGAGGATGAGGAAGACAAGGTAAGGATGAGGAGGATGAAGTGAGCGTGAGGAGAATGAGGTGAAGATAAGGAGGATGAGGTGAGGATGAGGAGGAAGAGGAGGTGAGGATGAAGAGGACAAGGTGAGGATGAGAAGAATGAGATGAGGAGGAGTAGGAGGTGGTGAGGATGAGGAGGAAGAGGAGGTAAGGGTGAGGAGAAGGGGAGGATGAGGAGGATGAAGTGGGGAGGACGAAAAGGACAAGATAAGGATGAGGAGGAGGGGAGGATGAGGAGGAGGAAGACCTTATCCCACCGAGGAGCTGCAGCAGAGTGCAGAGATGCCTGGCAACCCAGATAACGTGGGGCGGTGGGCGCTGCCCGCTTGGGCTGTGGGGGCAGAAGGAAGGGAGGAGGAGGGGTTGGTTGAGTCCAGGCTCATTCATCCCAAAAGCCGAAGGGAGGAGGAGGCGAAGGTCTGGGCAGAGGGTTTTGTGCAGCGGGTGGGGAAACTGAGGCAGGGGATGCGGGCAGCACTGCCAGCACCATCCCACTGCCCCCAGCCCTTGGCTGAGTGACACTTGGGTGCCACCAACTGCAGAGGACGTCCCCACACCAGGCAAAGCGAGGCTGAGTCCATCCCCACTCGGTGCAGGGGCTCCCACAGCCCCTTTGGCTTCCGGAAATAACACTGATGGATGATGGCTGTGATGCCACCCCAGGGAGGTGTTGTGAGCCACCGAGGGCCACCTCCGAGGGCCTGAGATGAAAGGCAGTGCAGGAGCACAGGCTGTTATTAGCACGGCTGACACAGAGCTGGGGAATGGCACCGTCACCTCCCCGGGCTGCACACAGCCCCGCAGCCCCAAGCACCCCTGGAGCCACGCCGGGAGCGGTGGCATCGAGCCCCATCCGGTGACAATGATGGTGCCACCACTCTGCCCCCCAACCCCTCGCGGTGACCCCAGATCTGCAGTGGGGGAACCCAAAACCACACGGAGTTCTCCCAGCAGCGCCCACAGCAGCCTGGCCTTCCTGGTGATGTGCTGTGAGTGCTGCCTGAGCGCGGCTCCAGGTGGTGCCATGCACTGCCATCCCATTGCCACCCCAGTACTGTCCCATCGCCGTCCCACTGCCACCCCACTGCCGTTTCAATGTCATCTCATCCTGCCCCATTGCCATCCCATCACTGTGCCACTGCTGTCCCATCACCATTCCATTACTGCCCCTCCATCATCTTATTTCTGTCCCACTGCCATCCCCTCACCATCACCATCCTATTACCATCCCACTGCTGCTTCATTGCCATCCCATCCCGTTGCAGCCCAATTTCCATCTCAACCCATCCTGCTGCCATCCCATCGCTGCCCCTTTGCCATTCCACTCCAGCCCCATTGCTGTCCCACTGCCATCCCATCGTCACCCCGTTGCTGCCCTACTGCCGTCCTATTGTCGTCCCATTGCTATCCCATCACTGTCACATTGCCATTCCATTGCTGCCCCATTGCTGCCCCATTGCTGTCCCACTGCCACCCCATTGCTGTCCCACTGCCACCCCATTGCCATCCAATTGCTGCCCTATTGCCATCACATTTCTGCCCCATTGCCACTCCACTGCCATCTCATTGCTGCCCCACTGCCATCCCACCACTGTCCCGTTGCCATCCCACTCCAGCCCCATTGCTGTCCCCCTGCCATCCCATCGTCACCCCGTTGCTTCCCCTTTGCCACCCCACTGCCATCCCATTGCTGCCCTACTGCCATCCCATTGCTGCCCTACTGCCATCCCACTGTCGTCCCATTGCTATCCCATCACTGTCACATTGCCATTCCATTGCTGCCCCATTGCTGCCCCATTGCTGCCCCACTGCCACCCCATTGCTGCCCCACTGCCATCCCACTGCTGCCCCATTGCTGTCCTATCTCTGTCCTTGCCTTAGTGCTGGCAGAATGGCTGCACTGGGTGGAGGCACAGGGGATGTGGGAACATGGCATGGCAGTAAGGGTACAAGGGACATGAGGACGCTCCCTGGGCTCCATCCATGGCCTCGTGCACTTTGGCGGTTGCTCAGCAGTGCCAGCCCATCCCTGGAGGGATCATTAGTCCTCCCTCATTAGAAGAAGTTACTCACCCATTAAGACAGACACAAGAATATCCTGGAAATGCCTCCGTTTGGAGACTTGTGGTGTTCGGGTGATGACTGAAGCCGTGAGGGTGGCTGCACGTGATGCTGCCCTGCACG